GAAAGATTGAAGGTACCCAGGGAAGAGGCCAACAATAGGAGAAGAGCGGGGGTTCCCGCTAGCCCATCTTACTGGGGAGAAGCAGAAGAGAGTGAGTGGAGGAAGAGATTAAGAGAGGAGAGAGAAAGGGTGGAACAGGAGAGAAAGGAAAGTGAGTGGTGAGTGTGGGAGTTGAAGAAGTCAGAATGGAGAAAGTCTAGCAGACGCTGGAACCCGGAGAGCGTCCCAAGTGGGAAGATTTCCTTGGAGATGTCAGAAGGGAGAAAGTCTAGCAGACGCTGGAACCCAGAGAGTGTCCCAAGTGGGAAGATTTCCTTGGAGATGCATCTGTGCCCCTGTTGCCTATACAGATGGGAACGACGTTAAAAGAATGGTCACCGGTTGAGCAGCCAGGGCCATGGAACTCTAGTTATGGTAACCCCTTCATTCAAGAAGACTGGAATTCCCTTCCCGCCCCGTTGGAGGGAGGTGAAAAAGACTACGTCTTGATAATTGTTCCTGATAATTGTTTCTTCAACAGTTCAAAAATAAATGTTCCATCGTTACCAATATGTTCCGCTTCCTAATAATTGTTTCTTTAACAGTTCAAAAATAAATGTTCCGTCGTTACCACTGCAAATTGTGTCCACTGAAGTTATTAGGGATAAGGAAGAGCCACGTGACTAGCCTAACAAACCCTCACACAGTGATAACTCTCTGTATATAAAATCACTCTAAAACTAGCTTGGGTGTCAAAAATCATTACATACAGTTGTAACTTCAGTTACAATCAGAAGAATAAAAGGATAAAGAAAATAATTACAGTCTCAACCATCTTGGGAGACTGAAATGCACCATGCTCACAGAGGATGAAGAAAAAAATTACATGTCTGCTCAGGTTGAAAGTCAGAAAAGAAGAGAAAGAGCAAACAATTGGAGGAAACAAATAATGAAAAGGGGGTGGAGGCTTTCCTCAAGCCCAGGAAAGGACTTTGGTAATAAGCATAATTTTGGCAAGGCATGATTTTGTTCATCTGTGAAGCCCACTTCCCACTGAAACACAGTGTTAGATTGCATGCAAGATTGTTTTCTCCAACACAAAGCTACTCAGCATGTCCAGCCATTACTGAGAGAGGTCTGTGCCTGCCTCTCTGTTAGTCTTCTCGCTTGTTGTCATCAAAATTTCCTGTACTCTTAAGGGCAAGTATTTTTCACATAGCAATGGGAGGAGAGTTACATGGGGTCATCCACTCTCCATAAGGGAATACAGACATGCCATGGGGGAGACCTTCTGTGCTCTACATAGAGAAGATTCTGCCCATTATATTTATTTACAATATATATTTATACCTATTAATTTATTTACAAGATTTTTTAGCTGCACGCCTTCTGTGCTCTACATAGAGAAGATTCTGCCCATTATATTTATTTACAATATATATTTATACCTATTAATTTATTTACAAGATTTTTTAGCTGCACCAGTGGTCTCTGAGTGACGTACAAAATATTAAAGCTTTAAAAACATTAAAAACATTAAAATAGGCAATATTATAATATAGGCAATATTATAATAATATCCTATATTCAATACAATCATTAAAACATTTTATATACATATATACATTATTTTATTATGAAGGGAAGGGCTAAGCCTCTAAGAAATTACCTAGCTTTATATACCTTGTGCAAGTTTGGAACAGGGTCGCCAAGCCAGCAGCTTCCCACTCCCTGCAAGTTCAGTGCCAAAGTCTAACACCAGGGGCGATTTCTTGTATAAGAGCTACAAAACAATTTGTGTTTGGGCGTGTCAGACAGACAGACAGACAAGTCAGCAGAATACAGTTCTTGTACTATCTCCTAAACAAATATTACGTGTGCAGCATACATATAAACACAGTGAACCACACAGCAGCAGCTGATAAGCACCCAGGCATTACAGGCACCACACACAATAAACTCAGGCCTAACACCACTTGACCAGAGATTTGTCTCCATGCCTAGAAGCCCAGGAAAGCACAGTAATTCTGTGAGACATCAGCTAATGCCCTCACGCCTGGCAAGACTAGGTCTAAATAAGCTTGTTGTTACCAATGGAACTAAACTACTAAAATGTATCTTAATTTCTGCCACTTGGGAAATTGGGGAGGCAGCAAGAGGAAGTATTAAAAACGTGAAAATATAAGCTATAAACATTATGATACACAAATGTCTGTAGCATTTGGGAACTAAAATACTGTACTGTATGTAGATGCCAACATTTTCAAGCAGACACAAAGAAAATAAAAAAGTGAAAATAAACATTTCAACAATGTAATTAAAGAGCAGCATATGTGGATATTCAATTGACTGTAAATCATACTAAAATCTGTCCACAATTGCTACTGAACCCAATGGAATTTGTTTTCTGAGTAAACACCGCTAGCAGCGATCTATTATTTGGAAACAATTAGCTATTGTAAAGCTATATTCATGTACATGTTTCTACCTGCCTATAAACAATCAGAACCTGAAAATAATGGGATAAGGCAAGTTTTTGTCTCCAAATAATAACAGTATGCTTTTAAGACAATTCTGACTTACAACAGCTCTTTCTAGTGTTTCCAAGGCACATTCCCTGCTTCTAGGGGTGCTCTGGGACTATGCAGATGGCCCAGGCTACACAAGACCGGCTCTTCTCCCAGGCACCATAGTGAGGAATCAAACTCCTGACTTCTGGCTCCACAACAAGGTAACCAACTCACTGAGCTGTCCAGCCAACTATGCATAGCTTCTGATTCTCATTTATTACTCATTCAGGGGACTTGAGAAAATAGATGGTTTGCATGAAGTGAAATACAATTATTAACTCTGTTCCCATGCTAGATTCTTCTTTCTTTATTCGTGTAAGAGTGCTGCAGAATTCAAAATCATGGATGTACATGAAATATAGGCAAAATAAAAAACAATTAAAATGTCAAGATAATCAGACTGTTTTTGACAAGAAGAGGTCAGAGCTTGAGATGTGTGTAGAAACTTCTTCTCAACTTCACCCATCATCTGGGGGTTGGCATCTTTGAAGTGGGTTGATTCGGTGCTGTTCCAGTGCAATGTTTCTGGAAGTGAAGGATCTGCTAGCTACATGCCATTGCCCAGGGGACACCCAAGTGCAATAATTTTCCACACTTTGGAGAGGCAATGGAGAAACGTGGAAGCAAATGAGAAGCAAAGGAGTCAGAGGCAGGAGCAGTATTATTGAGTCTTGCAGACAGCTCTCCTAAAGATGTCCCACAGTCTATAACAGCACCTGATGCAAGGAATGGACATACAGTATAATCCTGCTTCCAGTACCTGACAGTCCCATGTGTGTTCATTAAGAGACCTGTGCAGTTCCATTACTCACTACAAAAATCCTTATGAATTTTTGTCTTTAGTTAAATAACACTAAATGTAGTGTTAGTCTCAATTAGAGCAGTGATTGAAATAAACAAAACTTATGTTACTTTTCCCTAATAAGACTCACTTCACTGGGTCTACTTTAGTTGGAACTAATGCTGAATTTAGTCCAAATTTTAACACATTTCCTCATAAAATATTAATCGCTAAACATATTTTCTCTCAAAACAGGAAACTCTAACATACACATTTTGCAGTACATTGTTTGAGCTGAGAAATATGACACACAGATGATAAAGTGTATTCCAATCCATCAGGAAAATCAAACTGAGGTACTTCAAAGTCTGGACCAAACAAAATTATTTAGTATTCATTTTTAATAGTTCCAAAAATAATACAAGTGAAGTGTTCCCCATAATTTTATCTCAATTTCAGAAAAAGTTCTACTAACTCAACATTTCAGGCTATTGTTATTTTCAGAGCCAATAAGGGAGCATCCTATCTCAGCAGCTAAAGCAGGTCTGTCAGATCTCTTTTATTATCTCTGAGCTCACTGGAGCAAAAGGGGGACATGGGACTTTCTTTGTTTCGGGATTTACTGAACAACTTAAATGCAAAAGAGCCACTGAAGATTTCACAACTGCATATAGACAGTAATTTTTGCTCAAAACATAGATCTCTCTGAGTCCATGTCCATATTCGACTACAAGCATCAAGTATATAATAAGTGTGGAGAAACAAAATCATGTACTGTATATGAGTTTGTGAAACAGTACATACCAAACTATATCTTGTATCATAACTACAGAACCTATGACAATAACGATAAAAAGAGCAAAACCCAAGTCATAACATAGGACTGATTTCCATTCCTACTCTTTTGCCCCTCACCAGTTAGGCACTAAATAATGCAATGGCTGGGAGGCTGAACTATGAATATGGAAGTCCCAGATTCAAATCATGTCTGTTGAATGGCAGTCTTTGATAAACCCTTATTCTGTCTCTCTCTCACACACATACCACCCATCCCTCCCGTTCTGCAAAGTGGAGATAAGAAGGCTCACTTTTCTTCAGAGTCACTGTAAAGATTACAACAAAGTAACATCAGACATTTTGAATATTCAAAATCACCATGCTGATGTCTGGTCATTATTTGGTGCTAACCAGCACGGTACTGCCTCTGCTTAAATTAGGTAAGAATGCATTAATTTCCCATTTATCAATCTAGAAACAAATGAAATCTCATTTTCCCATTTACTGTGTATAGACAGAATCAGAGCAGCAATGCAGCACTCTCATTTTACTCTGCTTTTGAACAACCAGCTTCACGGAAAAATCATTAGTTTGGTCATCCACCGAAAAGAACAGCCCTCTATGTAAAAATTTCCAGAAGGATAGCCAGTGTTAAGTCTATTGCAGAAAAAGCAACAAAGAGTCCAGCGGCACTTCAACAAGGAGCATATTATAATAAATCTATAGTAAATTTGCTAGTCTTTAAGGGCCCTCTGTTGTTCCCTTTTTAAAGAAGTCTCCTGCTGCTAAAGCCAAAGAGACATGTGTCCCTTGCTCTACTGAGGTAGCAAAGCTTTAAAGAGCTCCAGGCTCTTTAAAGGAAACTCCTCCCTCATTCCCATCAAGCCACACAGCATCATGTCTTGTTAAAGTAACGGGCATAGTGCGTCAATATTTCCTCCCCCAAAACCCCAATGTAACTGCCTCAAAAGCAACAGTAGAAAAGCAGCAGCAAAATTTAAGCCATTCTCCACTGAAGAGAAGCAGAAAAATCAGACATAGCAGAAAGGAACTGGGTAAATGCTTCACATACAAGCACACAGGCATACCAGGTAACCATTTTGCTATGCTTCCTCCCCATTCCCATTTAAGTTAGTTTTGTTCTGACAAATGCATTTATGCCTTGGGGTGCAAGACTGCATGAGAAAGCTGAGCCACTAAAGCAAATATAGCCTGGAAACAGCTGGCATCTCTCCAAGGACTAGGACTTTTAAGAGCCCATAACTTAAAGGAGCACTAGAAAAACATGATCCCATTCTATACATAAATAGCCTGTCAATGACCATATCTCAAAATAACCACTATCACAAGCAGCACAGTGGTGAAATAATCAAGCATCCGTCTAAGAAGCAAACATATTACAGATATTGGAAATGAGAGGAATATTTTACATACATGTTGTGGGTGTGGGTGTCGATAAAACCCTATCATTTAATTGAACAAATAGCTATAATTTTGTTGAACAGAGAGGCTGACTACTCACAGAGATTACTGTAGCTCCAGCAGTTACCCATTGGTCAATGAAAACAACACAAATCATCAGTTTATCTAATAAAGATACAAGCTTAATTCAGTGGCTGCTGTTCTAAGTCAACTGGAATCAGAATAGAATAGTTTCAAATTTCCTGGAGGCAGCAGCAGCCGGTTGCCCTGCCCTGCATACAGTGAGGCAAATAGAAGCATTCTGAGCATTATGAAACTGGAGAGAGGACTGCAGTCTCATTCCGACTATGGCTGAAGGAGATGAGCCCACCTCAGCATCTTACCCCAGAATAACCACCGTAAGCTATTTCTCTTTTTCCATCAGATCTAGTAGATAGGATTTTAAATATCTGTTACTGTTTAACATCAATCTTTAATTTTACTGCTTTGCAAAACATCACAGCAAGAAATTAAACAAAAGCAAGCCATGATAATTTCACATCCATTTATACCAGCCACACAGCACTGGATGCACAATGATGGCATTCTACCATAATATAACTTTTTTATTATGATGAACTTAGAAATAGAATAAGCTCCATAGGGTGTCACTATAAACCCTCTTTAGTGTTCCTAAATTATAGTCTTAGCCCCAATAAAATTAACTCAAAAATCACTTTGTATAAGCATGGACATTTAACACAGTCAGGGCTATGTGTATGTTGTGACTTGGTGGGAGCACAGAAAATGTGCAAGGTGTGTTCAATTGTTTTGCCTGTGCTTCTAGTGCTTATGACTTTAAAGATATACTTCAAGGTATGTGGGCTGTACTTGCTAAATTCTCACTAGTGAAAGGGGTGGACATCCTAAAATTAGGTGTGGGATTTCACCGCTGTGCTTCATTTAACTGCCTTCTTCTCGACCACCTAAGCTATCACTCATTAAATAAAGAGTAAAATTGGAGAATAAATGTATGCAAATAGGAAAAATAATTTGTATTATTACAAGATTGCAAATTTCAATTTTCTCAGTATAGAATACAATGGCATAAGTACAGGGCACACAAAACCTTCTACATAAATTTGATTTTTTTTTAAAAAAGAAGACAAGGAAAGATAATGCCACTAATGTTTCTCACTTTATAGATTCTGTTCAGCAAACCAATTAAGCCTGATTGGGGGCCCCAATGAATTGGGAATGGTTGGATTACTATGGAATCATCAGTACTATTAACAAAAAAGAAAGCTGGGTAACAAGAACATGCAAATACATGATGTATGAAAATAACCAGCTTTGTGGTATAAACATTGGCACAATAAAATTTCCTTGAGAAAACAAAACGAGAGGTAAAGTTAGAGGAAATGCTGCACCTCTCCCACCAAAAACCTGGAATCTCTAGTTGTAAAAAACCTTCTTCCAACCTAGCTCACATTGGGGTATCTAAGCTGAGCCTGGGGGGGGGAAACATTGCAAAAACCATAAAATGACAGAGGAAGGAGGAGGGTAAAAGTGCTTCTCCCCCACATACACCTCCACATGGCCTACAAGATTTTTTTAAAAAATAACACATCTCACTTTATCGTCAAATTGACAAATTTCCTTTTGGCTTGAATATAATCCGTCTGAAAGTCTGGCTCTCAATGTGGGCCAAGGGCTGTAGACCATTTTCTTCCTATCCAGGCCCCTTTCCCTATTGTCATGGCCTTTCCTATCCCTTGACTTGTCCGACTCTCAATCCTTACAGCCCCGTGCATCTCCAGGTCCCTCCACTCCCCACAGACACCATGCTGTCATGGCCACTGCCATTTCATTTCTGTCTCCCTAGCACTCCTATGTGCAGCCAGAAAGTGAGGAAGAATGAGGACTACAGTAATGGGTTCCTGCAAAGCCTGTAGGGGTTTGGCCATCTGTCTCTGACAGTGCTAGGCCTGGGGCACCTGGTAAGGTCACACAGTTGCCATAGTAACCAGGCAACTGGCTTCACAAAGACACAACTAGCTGCCTTCTTCCCTTCCCTTCCTGTATTTATTTTCTGAATTGAGTCCAGATGCTGCACTGGACTCAAGAAAAAATACCTCGCATGATATCGAAATAGATGCAAGGAATTTACAGCCATTGCCCTCTCAAGCCATTTCCTCAACTGCTGTGGTTTAAGCTATCTAAAATTAAATTATCAGTGCCATTCTGAGTGCTGCAGTATATTTGGAAACCCATAAATTAAGCAGCCCTTCCTTCAATTCATGTGCTCTGGTTGACTCAGTAAAACTCTCCAGCAAGACACAACCAACCGTTCAGAGTGAAATGATTTGCATTAAAAACCATACATGTAAAGTACATTACAGATTCCACAGCTCATAAGAGAAAGAAGTGCATGGAAGGGAGTTTAACAGATAACAAGACTAATCAGAAAATGATGGTATAGATAATATTCCATTTTACTCACAATGAGTCTTTCTGCTATACAACAAAGTTACAAAGCCTAGTGATTCTTTATATAGATGAGGGCCACAATCCCCACTGGTAAATCCAGGTGGACACTTCATAAAAAGAATGGATGGGCAAAGTGTAGCACTCCAGATACTGGTGTACCATAATCCTTAGCCAGAAGAACCAATGCTAGGGAACTGCAATCCAGCAGCAGCTGGAGGGTCACATCCTCCCCATCCTGACACATGGATAGCACTTTGCAAAGCTATAGCTTTACAGATAAAATTATGCAGCTATTCTTCTAACAGGAGAAGATTAGGTATCCTACTCCCTGGGTATAAGTCTCATGGCATTTACTAAGATTTACTTTGTGCTATAAATACTAAGGTTCTTGAAGAACTTTATGTCCAGAATCCTATAGAGACTGTGCGGCATAAATGTATAATCACACACATCAACCCATCTTTGTAGCTGGCTATCCATCATACTTTCCAACATCCTCCTGATGGGAAAACAACTGCGTGCCCATCAAAGCAGTAAATGGCAAATGAACAGATAAAACCTCTTGTACAATGATCTTATGTACATTACTTTCTTCAACAGGTTTTTGGTCTATATATTAAACTTGGATGAGGGATACAGGATCCTCAAGATGTTGTTGGAATGCAATTCCCCTTGCTCTTTACAACTGACTTTGCTGGCTAAGGCTAATGAGAACTGCAGTCCAGGAGTATCTGAGGGACTGCACTTTGCTTACCTAATGATATTGCAAAAAGCATTACTTCCTCCCAAATTATATTATGGTAGACTGGAAAGTGGCAACTTTGGCTCCAAGGCAACTACCGTGAAATTGAGAAGGAAAATTATATATGGGCTAAAATTTATTTTGATAGATGTTGGCAAAGTTTTTAAAAAGAGGGCACGAGGAAACAAAATGTCTAGGCATTTTAAAGATTTCTCATTTTATTCCAATTTTAGCTGCTTTTGTGGATCAAAATCCACTTCTTCAGACATAGGGGGTTAAATACATCTCCCCTCTATTTATCCACATGGTGTTGAGAGTCATGTCTAGATAAGGATACAGGTAATAGAGTCACAATGGTTCATTGACACAGAAATGGTACTTATCAAAATACTACTGAATTAGCAGGTCCTAGCCAGTGTGACAAGCTGTATGCAAAGTGGACTTCATAGGCATCCTTCAGTCTCGAGAAACTATGGTAACATGCTCTGTATGGAGGACTTGGAACTGTGTCGTGTTTTGACACTGTACACAAAGCTGGAGTGTCCTCTCCAGGGCACAAAGCCTGGGTAAATTAATATGGAGCATAGGCTGTTACCCAAGCAGCAAATCCCCCCTCTCCACATCGCTAAAATAGTCCAATGGAAAGGCAAGAGCCAATACAACTGGTTTCAGCGACGTCGCAGGAGTTGACAGAATGACACAAACTGCCTCCGGGACTCCAGCTCCGGATTTTGCCTCGAGGTTAACTCTAAGTAGATATAGCCACAAGGCAGTGGACGTTTGAAATTGGAGTTTTCCTTCTTCTAGATGGGCTGCCTTCCAGGCTTTGGACCCAATAGTCCAAAGAATGTTAAAAACAATGGTTCCAAAGCAAAGACAAGTGCTTTCTGTATGCTTGTGTCCTTGTTTCCAATTTGCTACCAGTAAGGAAAACAAGGCAGGCCTCCCATGTTTGGTCTGCCAGGTAACAATACCTTCACCAAACTTTGTCATCCCACTTTGTGATGCAGTTCATCACCTTTATAAATATCTGGTCCAGCAGAGACTTTTTGCCCCTCTCTCAGGTAGAGCCGTGTTGTCCTCAAGAGACAAGAATCTGGAAAGCAGCAGAGGCTCGCTGTCAGCATAACCCAAAAAGAGAGAGGGAAAGACCCCAGAAGATGTTTCCTCGAGCAAGAGATCCAGGGTGGGGAAGTTCATTCTAACTTGCTGCTTATGTTGCATTTGTGTCTCTCCACCAAAATCACCAGCAGGGCTGGCAATTGATGACAACTCCAAAGAGGGAAAATATTCAGAAGCATAACACCATTACCAGGTAAAGTATACTAACAGTTTGGGGACTGAAATAGGTGGCAGGGAAGGCCAGGGAGTCCTCTGGAGGTGGAGGTGGCTTTCCTGGGGAGGGGGGTTTAGACCGGGCCTACCAGAGAAGACCCAAGACCTTTCGTCGGATAAAACAACTGGGGTCAGGAAACCAAGGGTTTTATACTTCATCTGTTGCAGCTGTGTTTATACCCCGCCAAGGGAATCATCTGCCCTAGCCTCTTATCACTGTTTCAAGGATACCTACATAACAAGGTTCCCTTCCTTCTGGAAAGAAAAGATCCTCAAATATGGATACAACAAATTACTTCTGCAAACGATGAACTAAGCTACAACTCAGAATGGCTCTCTCTCACTTATAATGTTCATGGTGGGTAAGACCAAGATATTAAACAGTTTCATGCTACTTAAAATGTCACTATGATGTCATACTGCACATTGTGTTACCCAGTATGCCTTCACAGCTTAAGTATGAACTCACTCATATCTGTGCTGAGAATACTGTATATGGAATTCTGAGCTATGGGAGTAGTATGATTTAATATACAGTGGTGCCTCGCGCAACGGTCGCTCCGTGGAGCGACGAAATCGCGCAACGGTGCCATTTTTGCAATCGCAAATGCGATCGCAAAACGGCACCTGAATAGGGCACAATTCACAGAGCGAAGGTCGGTAAGCCATTCGCTTACCGACCTTCGCTTTGCGACACACCGATCAGCTGATCGGCAGGTCCAAAATGGCCACCGCGTGACCCCAAAATGGCCGCGCGCAGCGTTTTTGCGCCCTTGGTAAGCAAGGGGAGGGCGCGAAAACGCTGTGGCCGGCCATTTCGGCTGTTCCGGCGGCCATTTTGGACCCGCCGGACAGCTGATCGCAGCCATTTTCACGCCCTCGTTCAGCGAGGGGAGGGCGCAAAAATGGCTGCCGGCATCGCACAACGGTGAGTAAATCAATCAATTGTTCCAATTGTTTTTTACTTCCCGTTGAGCGATGTTTCACACAGCGAGGGTTAATCCGGAACGGATTAACCTCGCTGTGCGAGGCACCACTGTATATACACAGAGAGTTCTTCAACAGGGGGATTTTATTGGGCACATGAATTAAAACATACACAACAGTTGCCTCTGGGAATAGCAAAAATGACAGTATAGCTCTATGAATGGCAAATAATAAGTAAATGAAGCAGTGACCAGACATTCAGATACTGTACATTTACTCTAGAAACAGTATTGTGAAATATTAATGTTAACATCTACACAGCTACTGCAAGGCCTGAGTAAACTATAAAGAGCTGAAATGAAATTCCAGGAGGTAGTAGGGTTGTGGTAAAACAAACTGGGAAGCAGATGTTGCTGCAAGGAGGACAGAGAAAGAGGGGATCTTTCCCTAAAAGGTGTGTACATGCACACGAAGGCAGACACACATGCACACACTCTCATAAGAAAGCGGGAGGGTGAGAATAGATTGGGAGCTGCTACTGTGCAGGGAAAAAATCTCCCCAAATGTAGATTTAGGGAAGTCAGAAACTGTCTTTAGTTTCATTAGGTGGGAACAAATGTGATGTAGCGGACAAAATGTTGGGCTAGGATTCAGGAGACCTTGGTTCAAATCTCTGCTTAGCCATGGAAATTTATTGGGAAGTTGCAATTGTATCTATTTCCTGAACATCTTACATATGTTTTTAGGGAAGGAACGATTGCTCAGAATCTTGAGTCTTTTCTGGGTGGGGGAGAAAAACTGAACATTCATGTTTTTCCTTTAGTATTAGACCAATTCTAATCACAACTGAGAATGCACCTGCAAAATTATTACCCCTAAGTGTAAGCATGTGTTTTTGGAGACCAAGATCAAAGATCATTCACACTACAGTATTCCCAGCCCTAATGTGTGGCTATCACAGAAATGCTATGAATTAGTTTCAGAAGTCAGAGCCTGTCAAGAAAGACAACAATTCTATACCTACCAAATATTATTGAAAGCAGGGTTATTAATATACATGGTGGGCTAAGAAGACCTCTCCTTTAGCACCTTAGAAATTCACTGGAATTTGAAACAAAAGGTATGGCAAAATGAAGTCAGTATAGGCCTGCCAGCATTTAGGACACTGACAATGATTACTTTAATTGCATTTTCTTCAACCAGTTCTGAGTTTAGATTGAAATGGAAACCAGTCTGCAAAAACAATGAGTCAAGTAAGCAAAATGAAGAGGAGAAAAATATTTGCCACTGCTTGGAAAAGAACATGTTCCCTCCCCTTAATGCTGAAAGCTGGTGGTTCTACCACTCCGAAATTAACGATTACCCCCAAAAGGGCAATTTCCAGCCTCCTGAAAAATGCATTACATTCATTTATCAGCCCCTTAGTCACTTTTATTTCCAGTTCCAACATTTCAAGCACCATTGTACTGACATCTGGCTGTGGCACACAGGGGTGGGGGGAGAGAACAAATTTGAAGTGTGAAAGAAACGAAGTGGGAAGCAGAAAGAAGTGTAAGAGATGGAGGGGGTAAACTGAGGGGAAATGGAGAGAAAGAGAAGCAGACAGGTGGAAGACGCCAAGAAAAGTGATGGAGGAGGCATAAGGAAAAGAGGAACAAAAAGGGTCACAAACAAGTGAAAGGGATCCTGAAACAATGAGATGGCAATAGAGAGTGGTGGAACCAAGAAGCAGAAAAGTAAAGCATTGTGTGCGGCAAACAGCTGAACATTTACTCCAGTTCCCTCATCTATGTGCAAGGAACCAATTCAGTTCCTTGTCCCAACAGTCAAGGGGAGCTGTTCTGTAGTAAATTAGAAACATCTGCAAAAATGATTTTTGGATTAGCTGCCCTACTGGAAACAAACCCAACTTAGATTCCAGCTATCCCACTTAGTTGTTTGCATTCTCTCATGTAAAAGGAAAGCATGTTTGTACTTGTACAGTACAAGAATGGGGAATGTGTAGCTGTCCACACTTTGCTGGACTGCAACACAAACACACACACACTCACCAACAACTATACTGGCTGGGGCTGATGTAATTTGCAATCCAGTAACATGTTACAATCCAGAGCGCCACATGTTTGGCATCACTAAACAAGAAGCAGGAGACAGAGAAGGCACAGGGTCTATGCTGTCAGTCAAGAAAGAAGTGCAAGAGAGGCCACTGTAATTTTAACAATCTAAAATAACACCTCCAGTTAATTAGAAAACGGCTAGTTAGCTAATTGATCTATTCCATTTAAAACAAATATTTCAAGCTGGGGGCAGGGCAGTCTTATTCGAGGTCCTCTTCTTCTAGTTGCCCATCAGGAGCACTGCTGGCAGGCATCCCTGTTTGTGTAGTAACTTCTTTAACTTCTCTAAGACTTTTTGCTATCCTAATTATCTGGTGATCATCTAGTCTCATTTCGTGACCCTACAAAATATTGATCATTACCAATCAGAGTTGAAAACACACTATTTTTAGGCTATGTTTCTTCTGGTGTATAGCTATAGCAAAGCAAAGAAGAAATATTATAATGTCCTTTCTAACAATACTGTTTTGTTTTATTAAACTGTTAAATTATCATTAACTTCCTTCAGTATCTCCAAAAGACATCTGCATTGGCTCAGATATATCCCTGTTTATATAGACAACCAATTAAGAGATTAAATAACAAACCAACAAGTTCTTTCATTAACTACAAGTTTTTTAACACCCTTACTGCTAAGTAATCCAGTCTAATGCCTCCCTCTGTGTGTCTGTGTGCGTGCATGCGCACCCATGTGTACTGAGTACTACAATTATGGTGCTACTACTGAGCAGCAGGGAAAATAAGTGAAATAATTTTAGTTCAAGAGTGTCCCATAAACAAATAAAGTTTTGAAAACCTCTGTATGACACAAGCCATGCTCTGTGAGTTGGTAAATATTTCTTATGAGGCACTTCAGAGTTTTCCTGACTTGGAACACTAAAGTTTTTACATTTCCACTAATGAATCAATGGCCTCATTCTTCTCCCTTGACAGTGAATGAATGCCCCTTTGGTTTTCTCTCCCTAGACATCTTTCTTCTAGTTCCAAAAAAATAGGGAGTGGGTGGCTTATGGGGATGAGGAGGGGTGTGAAGCCTTTTCCACAGGCTTGGAAAAACACAGCCAAGTATTTGACCATAGACACTAACTAGTCCTTATGATATAAAATAATTGTCTCATGAGCAGAAGAAGGCAGCCAGATTGAACGTGGGACAGCAACCATCTTCCACTCCATGGATCTTCAGATCCCAGCCCCTCCTTATCACTTTCCTCACACAGAACTGAATATGCAACAGCCCCTCCTCACCTCACATATGCCATTCTACGGTTAGAAATAGAAACGGTAGCTACTGAAACGATATGGATGGGCCACTACTAGAGATGGGGATAACTCACCATTTCGGCGAGTTGTCCCACTTTGTGAGTTGTCAAAAGTTGACGACTCACAAAGCACAAAGTTGCCTCCATGAAACGACAAAAAACAAAGTTATTCGTCAAGTCATGGGGGGATATTTTAAAAAAAGAACACCCACTGCTGCCACTCCCCACTGCCACCACCCCCTCCACCCCCACTCCCCACCGACACCCCTTTCCTATTTTTTAAAAAAGAAAACATTCTGCCTACCGGCTGCCGATCAACTGATCTGTGGCCAATAGGCAGCTCCCACACACAGCCCCACACAGCCTACCCCCACCCCCTTCATCTCCCTACAGCATGTAAAAAGGAAGGCTGGCTGCCCTTTGCAAAGATGGAGGCTGCGGCTTCATTTAGGGCAGGGAAGCTGCATCTGCCATCTTTGCAAAGGGCAACCTGGATTCCTGTAGCCTGTCTTGGCAAGAACTACAGAAGCTAGATACCCTGGGCTGCAGCTTCAGCTGAAGGGAAATCTGACCTCACAGCTTGAATAAGATCAGCTGGTTTTCCATGTTAATCAGGTTAGTTAGGCCCTATAAAGCCCTTCCAGACTAGCCAGTTTATCAACTTACTTGATCTGTGCAAAATGTTTGGAGTGAAAGGACTCTGCGTGCTCTCCTGCTTACTCTTTCTGATTATGGTTGCCTTGGATCATGACCCCTTCATGTCTCTCAAGTAATACACACTGCTGGCTCCCCCAATGAACTTTACTTCTTCCAGATTCAGATCCCTGTCCAGCTGTGACTCTGCATTTGCCTCTGGCCTCCAGCTTCTCACCTCTCCCACAGAGTCCCTGGCCTCTAGCCCACCGGTGACCACCTCTACTTCAAAGCACATCTTCCTAAATCTTATCTTCCTGTATACAAACTGGAAGAGCTGAGCCTACCAAGTCTGAACCTTTTTGTGTTCTTTCCTCTTTAGCTAAATTAATAACTTGAGAACACAAATTGAGGACAACACCATGATTGACAACTAAAGCAGAGTCTCACATGTTAAACTTATTTATGATTTATTTGTTTAAAATATTTTTACCCCTCCTTTCTCCTCGAAAGGACCCAAGGAACACCTTATCTGTGCCTTTAAATACTCA